ATACAAAGAATTAAATATTACTAATTTCCTAGATTTGATACAAGTCATGCAAATAAGTTGAATAATCATGAAAAACACCGATTACAACACATACAAAATCCTAAAACATCCTCTACCTCCAAATCCCCACCTAAATGAAACGGCTCCGAATCCGACGAAACTTCTAGGTTTTATCGGGGACAACACGGTGAACAAGAACCCCAAGGAAGCCCCATGAAAATCACAACTTGACTTCAAACTCGAACTCAAGAAATGACCAAAACAAGATTCCAATCGGTGGAATCAAAGGCCTCGCCAAAACGAACATAAAACACTAAGGCACCATGACTTTTCGTTAAAGGGAAGAAGCTCAAAAGAGGAAAGAGAAGATGGCAGCCATGGGAGGAGCTAGGGTCGGCCATGGGAGAGAGAGAGAGAGAGAAAAAAAAAATCTGATTTTTCTTTCTAAGGCCCCCTATTTATAGAAAACTCAAAAAGTGCCCCAAACAGGCCCCGCCGGGTCCGGAAAAGTGGAATTTGAGCAGATGCGCTCAAATGGCAAAACTCTATGAATAAAAAAGAATCAAAATGAGAAAATATAAACAATGGAATAAACGGCGTCGAAAACTGAGTCCCGAGCAGAGAGATATGCCCCGAACAAGTTCGGCGGCAACTAGGGCCAAAAACCCTGAAACTGGAGAAAAACGACCAGAACGAAATTCTAAGAGTACGCGACTTGACAAAATGTGAAAATGAATCCCGTACGAGGATTCAGGCTCAAAACAAGGCATTTAGCAATAACTTTCATTAATTGCATAATGGCCCCTCCAAAAAGTGAAAACTGCACAACTAGTCCAAAATGAAAATATCTTCCAAAAATATTTTCTTAGAAACCTCTGAAATAAATATCTTCAAAAGATATTTATGAAAAACAGCGCAAGAAAAGAATAAGTTTTCAAAGAACTTTACATCTGTGCCCCTACGGATACCGGGGGCAACTAGAGTACTTTTTTGCAAAAGTAAAGATACGTATTTCGTAGAAACCACTTAGAATGAAGATACGTGGAGTCAAAAACTAACTCCGAACACAAGAAGTATGGTTATGCCAACAAAGTGACAAACGGGGAAAAGACGAAATAGGGAAAAAGACGAAAAGTGAATAGTGTCCGAAAAATGAAAATGTGGAAATGACCCGGTCCTTAAAGGAAGTTGTCAATCCAAATAAAAGAGTCTCAGAAACTATTTCTGAGCACTCAAGATGACACTATGCGATGAAAAACTGAGCTCAGAAAAGAAAAGAATAACGGAAAAAAAAATATCCGTGAAAATCTGAAAAAAGGAAAGGAAATAAAATGACTGGGTCATTACATTAAATATATTATTACATTGTATTTTTAGTAAAACAAAATAGAATACAAGAACACAATAGTGTATATCTCATATTCATTCAATTGGAGAGAGTATATATTAAATAAAAAAAATTATAATGAGACCCACCTGCAAAGTAAAAGTTGCTTTAAAGAAAAAAAGTAAAAAAAGAAGAAGAAAAATGCTAAGAATTGATGCACTATTTTAGAAATTTCTAAAGTGGATTGGGGATATTTATTTATTTATTATTATTATTTTTTCAGGCAAATGACATGTGAAAAATATGTGTATAAATATCTAAGAATTTTTTTTTTCTTTTTTTCTGATTACATATATCCAAGAACATTAAAATACCAAAATTTGTAGTTCTAAAATAATTTATAGAAACTAAGAAGGTTAGATTGAGCTATAAATACGCCTTTCAACATCCAAACTCTTTTAAATTATCCTACTATTACCCTCTAAACAGTTCCATCAATTCTAATGATCAGTCAAATGACATAGGAAATGAGTGAAAATGAATGGGTTTAAAAGAGACATTTAAGATTCTCATTAGAGTATATTTTATCAATTCAAATTTTTCCAAAACTCACATATTGATCCAAAATAAAGAGTTTAAAAATAAATTTAGTTTGTATCTCTTTAAAAAAAAAATATCAACTTTCACTCTTTTAACTATATTTTCTAAAAGTTCAAATATTATGATACATAAATTTAAGCTCATTATTATTATAATCAAATTTTTTTTTTTGGGTAAAATATTATTATAGTCGCAACACATTGTTATTTTATTTATATATCCACCTACAATATCTATAATATTAATTCAAGAGAGAGCAAAAAAAAAAAAAAAAAAAAAGAATAAAATAACTAATATTCCCACATGTTTGGTAAAAATGCATTAAACATTTTAATACGTAAAATGGTATTTACAAGAAAAATATAAAAAATTATATAACAATCGGTTATTGGTAGGTTTTGAGAATATTTGGAAAAAAGATAAACTATAGTATTGTGAAACTCTCAATAACAATAATAATATCATATATACTAATACTTTTAGTACTTATCACTTTCTAAATAAAAAATTTTATAACTATTTGTATTTTGTTTAATAACTCAATAATAATCTTGTTTAATTTAAAATAAAATTTTTGAATCAAAATTCATTATGTTTTTCTAATCTTTCATATAGTATATCTTTCCTAAGTGGAATCAAAGTACTTAATTTTCTTCTTTGAAATAATAGATTTTCGAAAAATTGAAACAATTGATAAAGGAAAATTGATTTTCTAACCATAATTATTTATTTACATTTTTTCTCCATAATTTTCTTTCTAACGTCAATTTTATTTATTTATTATTATTATATTTTTTTGTGTCTAAGTTGTATATATACTACTACTAGTATTTAAAATATATATATATATATATATATATATATATATATATATATATATTACAATTAACTTATAATTTTTTAATTTTTTTTTACATAGTTCAAATCCGCCAGCCCCCAACCTTAATTTTTTTGGCTCCGCCGCTGTCGATGATGATGTTTGCTTAGAAAATAATAAATCAGCAAAGAAATCCAACACCCGCAAGCCTCTAGTTTTCGAAAGAATTTTGAGAATTAAGTTGGGGGAGGTCGCCTAAAAAGGTGATCAGAGAAATATCATTTACACTTTGGAATAATTTCAAATTTGACATCATACAGTTAACGTATTACATTAACACAATAAATATTTTACATTAGTGTAGTGAATGTCTTACATTCTACATTTCTTACCAAATCAGTATAGGAGTGGTGGAGGAATTTTGAGAATTAGGTTGAGGAGGTCGAACAGAAGAAGTGGTCGGAAGAATATCATTTATACTTCAAAACATTTTCAAAATTGACATTATACATGTTTTATTAGTGCGAACGTTTTACATTCTACAATATATATTTTTTGGTTAACAAATCAGTATATGAATGATTGAGCATAAGAGATTGAGGGTAACTCACTCACTTATCTAATGAGTGATTGTGCCCTAGTTATGTTGTACAAATTTCGTGTTTGCAAATTAAAGAACCAAATATGGAACAAACAATTATTTTATTAATTTTATAAAAATTTAGCACAATCATCTGATTTAATATCATTTGTTGACTGAATTCAATGGCTGTTGGAGTTTGATCTTGAATCAATTCGTTGACAAACTTTTTGAAATATTTGTAGTTGAGAAAGACCGCCGATAATTTTGTAGTTGAGGAAGACCATCGATGATTTCTAATCGAGGGCTGAAGAAGCTTGATCTCGAACAATATTACTTGATGATTCTTTGAACTTGTTGAATCACATAAAAAAAAATAACACGATTTTGATGTGCTTATTATTTTTTGCTTTCTTGTTCAGTCTTGAAGAAGAACGACACTATTTATTGTTCTTCTCGTCTTCAAAATTTTCAAATTTGTTAAATTTGAGAAAGAAATAAACGATTTTGAATGTATTTGTTATTATTCTTTTCTTTAAGGAGGGGTGTTGAGAGAGTATTGAGTTTGACTTGTAATTTCTCTTAATCTTGTTGTTCTCTCCTCCACCCCCCTTTCATGAAGTGGTAGAATTGTAAGTTGAGTCGTATTCTATATTTATCTAATTTACTTGTGATAATTATTCTTAATAATAATTATTTTATACTGGGTCTTGGGTAATTTAGTTTGATCAAGACCCATAAAATATATTTTATGGTGGACTGAATTGATAGTAGGCCCAAATTATATTTTGACACTTTTTAATTTTTTAGTGTCTACATATGCCTTTGCGGATCTTCAAGAGAAAAGTAGAATGATAATAGGATATGCCCGTTCGATGACAAATGGGAGTAACCCAAATTGGTGAAGTAGGAGATATGAGATAGAAAGAAAAATAATTATATACTTCCTTTGTAAAAAAAATAGAGATATATGACATAGTTTTACAAAAGAGACATTTATTTTTTTTGAAATAGAGAGAGTAAATGGTTATTTAATAAATCTCAGAAGTTACTTAGAAGTAATTTGGAATCTATGAGATATTTGTAATGATTTTTGTCTAAAGTGTTTATTGATAAAGTTGTTTTTGAATTTTAATATTAAATTAACCTTAGAAAATATTTTGTATAATACGTAGTATTATTGTTACATAATTGGAGTGAGTGTTATATTGCGATTCAGTTGTGTAGGTTTAATATTTGCAAACGATCGGAAACAGGATAGATCCGTTTTCAGGATCAGTGGGCCTATTAGGCCCAATAACGGATTCGGAGGTGGCCCCACAGGACTAAACGCTATAATAATGGTGAATGGTGATTGGAGGAAGATGGCTCCAAAACGATTGAATGATCGTACGGTGGACCATATCGCACACATTTCGCACCATTCAGTGCCACTGGTGGTTTCCACTTTTGAATTAAATTAAGTTATCCATTAGTAGTCATGACTCATCCTAACTTTGTGCCTCGTCACACCTAACCACTCATGCTTTGACAGCTGTAACACTCTTCCTCTCTCACGTGTCCCCTCTCAAACCCTACGCCGCCTAACAACTCAACACACAAGTCAAAGACCCATCCCCATAGGACAAGCCCACACACAAGACACTGCCGATAGGTAGATATATCATCCTCCACTTTAGACGCGTGTGTATATTTATATATATATATTCGTATATATGTATATATATAGAGAGAGGGAGAGACAGATGTAGGAAGGAAGGTGGTTTCTCTCTCCAAATTGTGTTCGCTGATATTGGCGTTGTCTTGTGTGGATATTCTGAACCGCTCTGATTTTGTGTATGGACGAATAACCCTAACTTCTCATCCGTTAGATCCCAACCCCACTGTGTACGTAGTACAAGTCTGTTTCGGGTTTCAGATATTAACAACCTTGTCCGTCCGACTTGGAATTCAACGTTGTTCCACCTCACTCTCACTTCAAACGCCTTGGAATCAGGTCAGTCTCTCTCTCTCTCCACAATAGTAGTCTTCTCTCTCCACATATATACGCGTGTATATAGCAATTTCAAGACTAATGTTCAATTGAGCTCTGGATCTCATCTCTCTCTGTTGTAGTTTCAGATATGGGCTTAGACTTGTTGTATTTTTTATTTTTTTTACTCCGAAATAGGAACCAGTTTGATGACTGGACACGTAGCAACGTTTCTATAAATGGGCGTATTGTTTGAATTGTGAACGTGTAAATGCTGAACGAGGAAATTTACAACACAACTTCAAATTTGTCAAGATTTGCTAAATCCTCAGTAGCACTGTTTTTCCTATAAGTTGTTTATGTACAGGAATTGACCTTATGATGTTTGAAATTTCCTCAATTTCAATTGGGGTTTGGATTTTTATATAACATCTTAGTGGATGTTGCAAAACCCATTTGTCTGATGTACCTCAACCTCACAAATTGCATTCCTATCTCTAAATCCATGACGCTTCGTTAAGATATGAAAATATCCTATTTTATTTATTTATTTTTAATTATATATATATTTTTATCGCTTTGACTAGTGTCCCACATAAATTGTGAACTTGGATGAATTGTGATATAGGTGAAGAGGCGTTTCATTAAGATATGCAAATATCCACTTTCTATTTATTTTTATGGCATTGACGAGTGTCCCACTTAAATTAAGAACATACTGTGATTGTTGTATAGGTGAAGGCGCTCGTTTCAGGTTGTTGTTTGTTAGTATAGGAAGATATTTGGTAGGAAGAGGGAAGAGAGTAGGGATGGGATGGATGAGACATCCTTCGTGCTACACGATTTTCCATTCGTCCAAAATTGGACGGAAAAGAGAAGGGAAGAGAAGATTAATTATTGCGTGTACCATAAAATGACATTATTACTCTCTAATTAGATAACAAAAATGGAAGGGGTTAACTCATTCTCTGCCCTTCTGCTAAACCAAACAAAACTTGGGAAGGATACCATTCCTTCCCTAGGGATGCCTCATCTATAGTTCCAACCATACCTTCCATATATATTTATCTTTATCCTTCCTACTAAATGAAACATTAGATATGCCACATTTAATGGATTAAAATTTCTAGTTGATAAAAGAAGCATTTAACAGTCTTGATCTACAGATGTAAAAAGTGCTGTAAACATGCAAAATGGAGCTGAGAATATTTCATTACTTTGAAGAGATGCTGATTGAAGTTTGCCAGCTAACTTGTCACTCAAAACATTTTCTACTCCCTCCACTCCAAGACAAAGTAAAATCAGAAAAAATCCTTCAAGTTTGAAAAATTTGCCAACTCAACAATAAAAGTTTTTAAAGTTCTAAGAGTAACTTGAATTTTCAAAAGGGGACAATGCAATAAATGCATGTCCTCTTAAAAAGTTGAAATCCCAAAATGAGACAACTAAATTGGGATGGAGGGAGTACATCTTTGAGGTGTCTGTTTTGAACACATTGTTAATTCAAACCAAGAAGCACCTTTAGAATGTAATCTCTTAAATTTGAAGGAAAAACTATGATGACAGATCTCCTAGAGCAGTTTGTACATTACTATAGTCTAAGACTATTGCAAAAGCCTTGTTTATGTTACACCAGGAATGTTAAAATGGAGATTTAATATTTGATGCTCACTCTTATTTCTACGACAATAGCCTTTCTAATGTTGACAGGCTAAAATAACATTACAAATGGCCTCGATTAGTTTATGAAATATATTTAAGAACTATCTAGGAACATGCTTGCTTTATGAACTTTAGTTTCTTCACAATTATGGTCTCAGTTCTATATGTGGAAGTTGTTCAAGATATACCATATACAAGGGAATACTCAGAGTAGTGACTAAGAATTATTTATTATTTTTGGAGGAGCCTGTGCAGAAAACACAGTCTTTGGACCCTGATTCCTAGTCCTCAAATTATCTTATTTTAAAACATAAGGACCTGATCTTATCTTATCATGGTCTGGCAGTTATAAATAATTCTACAATTGAGTCATAAGAGGACTTCAATCATTCTGCCTAAAAATGAAGGATGTAATGAGTTTTCCACAGTGACAATTGTTTTGAATTCCTCTGTTTAATCATATTAAATTGTGAAATAATTTGTGGCAGATTGCTAATTCGTATAAAATGTCAAAGAAACTAATTTGATTCAGATTGCTAATTCGTACAAATGTCAAACAAATTTATGTTAATGTCAACCATGATGTTGACTATTTAAGGGGCTCATTATAATTAAGAGGCTTATTGACAGTGCTTTGTAGATTTAATTGAAGGTTGCTTGACCTAAATTTGGAGAAGAGATTTAATTCTGAATTTTATCAGGGTTATGATTCATAGAATCATTCCAGAGAATATTCTGGTCAATAATACAATATATATATATATATATATATATATATATATAAATAAAAATATTTAAATATGAGAAAACAACATCATTTTGTAAATTTATATATTAAGCGGTAAGTAAATACTTTAAAAACTGTCCAAAACAAGTATTTGTTGCACACTGGGCGGTTCAACAATTCTCTCTCAAGTGAGATGGTATTAGTGATAGATAAATTTAATTAGTCAAATAAGTTGACTCTAATGTGTTTGGCAATTAAAAATGTTTTTCAGGAGCTTCATAAAATTTAATCAAGGATATACAAGATCTCAGAACAAACAGTTGAAGTTAAGGGGATTATTGAGTTTATATTCTACTGAACTCAATGGGGGCTGGGGAAGAGAGTGCTGCTGCTACGCCTTCTAAACCCCCTACTTCACTTCAGGTATTTTTTTTCTCTCTCACTCTCTGTGTTTGACAACACATACTTAACATATGCACCGCGTACTCTTTCTTATCATTCTCCTTTGCATTTGCAGGAAGCACCTCCAACGCCTTCATATCCTGATTGGTCGAGCTCAATGCAGGTTTGTGATGAAACCACCTAGGGTTTGTTAAATGTATTCATAAATGTGTTTTTTTAGACTATCAGGATAGATCTTTCAAATAGCTTACAGCTCATTTTCTTGTTTAGGCTTATTATGGCGCTGGAGCTACTCCGCCCTTTTTTGCCCCAACTGTTGCTTCGCCCACTCCTCATCCCTATCTGTGGGGAAGCCAGGTGACTCTCTCTCTCTCTCTCTCCCGTGTATAAATATAGACATTTGCTTTCTTTGATGATACTACTTCTGTTTGACAACCCACAAGTGAAACTTACATATTTTGTTTTTCTATTAATTTTTCAGCACCCTTTGATACCACCCTATGGGAGTCCAGTTCCATACCCTGCTCTATATCCTCCAGGGGGAGTTTATGCTCATCCTACTATGGCCATGGTAATACTGATTTTTTATTTTTATTATTTTTTATTTTTTATTTTATGTTATTGACATATTGTTTGTTGAGTTTTGTATCCCATTAACATCCATTTTAACGCTTGGCTTTGCCAATATTATTTGTGTAGTTGAGGCAAGATGCTTCTGTCATAGGTGTTGAAAACATGCTCCTTTTTATATTTCTTGCAATTAGCACCAATTTTACTATTTTTTGTGCATTTTCTTTCTTAGACTCCAACTGCAGTGCAGACAAATGTGGAGTTGGAAGGGAAGGCCCCTGATGTAAAGGAGCGGGCTTTGACAAAAAAATCAAAAGGAATTTCTGGAAACCCTGGCTTGATTGGTGGTAAGGCCAGAGAGAGTGGGAAGGCTGCTTCAGGTTCAGGAAATGATGGTGCCACACTAAGGTGTGTTACCTATGTTTAGTGATAAATCTCTCTCCCCCCATTATTTTATATTAGTCTCTTTCCTAAATATGGATATTGATTTGGACATTATCATCATCATCATCATCATTATTATTATTATGTTCTTTGATTGGAAAATTTGCTCATTAACAGTGCTGAAAGTGGAAGCGATGGTTCATCAGATGCAAGTGATGAGAATGCTAACCAACACGTACGTGTTTCAAATTTACTTATTATTGTGAAGATGACAATTTACATTATTCCAGTGTTAAAAAACTTGTTGAATCCTTTGTAGATAATCCGAGTGAGCTAAGTTTGTTGTATGTTTGCTATTCCCCAACTCAGATCAGTCTATAAGTGGCGGAATGATTTTTTCTTCTTCTTATTTTTATAATTTGAATTAATTATATTAGTCAAAGTGTTGTAACATTTTATTTTCTTTTTTCTTCTAATTGAAAAATATTCAATTTATCTTATAGGACCATGCTACAAGTAAGAAAGGAAGCTTTGATCTGATGCTTGCAGATGGTACGTCACCATCGTCACTTGATGGTTTTTGCTTGTGTGTTAATTGATGTAATGATTTTGTACTTCCATTAACTTATTCAGGAGCCAATGCACAAAATAACACTGTTGGGTCGAATCTTCAAGTTTCAGTGCCCGGGAATCCTGTTGTCTCTATGCCTGCAACCAATCTGAACATTGGGATGGATTTATGGAACGCATCTCCTGCTGGTGCTGGAGCTGTGAAAATGAGATCCAATCCTTCTGGTGTCTCAGCAGCTGTTGCTCCAGCAACAATTGTTGGACGTGAAGGCATCATGCAGGATCAATGGATTCAGGTAAGAAGTCTTGCAGTGATTTTCAAGATTTTTTCTGATCTCATGGTTCCTTCTTTTTTCATCCAGTAAAGAGGGAGACTTCTTTTATTGATGGTTATTGGGTTTGGATCCTATCTTTCCTTCACATGAGCCGGTAGACATAAAGAGTCATGGACACACCAGTCCACCGATGTGGATGATCACTTTTTATCAACTGCAAGTTAAATGCCTTGTTAGAGCAGTGGTGGGATACCACAAGCTTGGATATCCTATGCTTATGTGGCAAATACCACATCCAATCAGTGTTTGGGACATATATCTGTGTCATACTGGAAGAAGGGAACAGGAGTTGAAGTTCCATTATATTTTTGCAGAATGAAAAAAGAAGTGATTGATACCATTTCAGGAGTCGGCTGTCTTTTATTAATACAACAGATGGTAAGAAGCTCACAGTTAATATAGGTGTATGGTCAAGTGGGTTGGTGTAAAGATGGCTAAAAGGGGAAGAGGGAGTGAGTGACTCAGAAAATTAGATAGTGAGATATAGAGTTGACTGTACTTCGGAGTCTTTCATTGTTGGTAATGATAAGATACATGGGATGAGGATATAGAATTGCCTCTTTCCATAGAAGTAATTTGACATAATTAACTTGCCTCAGTCATCATATGCCTTTCATGGACTGTTCAAAGGTATGTGAAATATATGTGTTGGGGACACAACACTCGGACAAGGGTATAAGATATGTGTCTGACATGTTTGGCTGGATGTGCACCTAAAAAGTATACTAATTCAGTTTTATTATATTATTGCTTCAAAATGAGTTAAATGCTTATTTTGAATACTATTTTGGGTAAAGTGGAAAAAAAAAAACCTGCTATATAAAAAATGTGCAAGAAGCACCCTCGCTTTTTATAATGTGCATATAAATCCCTATATTTTGAAATTTTGTAGCAAATCGCCCCCTGGTCTTCAATTCTGACCAAACTTTTATAAAAATCCCAAAATACCCTTAAGGAATTTTAGGTATTTTTTTTTTTTTAATAAATGAAAAAAAAATTAATAAATAAATTTTGGGGTTTCATAAATTTTTTTTAAAAATGCCCTTGTTTTTTTTATTATTTATCTTATTCATTTATTTTTGTGTTTATTATTTATTATTTATTATGGTATTTCAATCTTCAAATTGAAAAATTTTCCTTATTTGAAAAAGTTAGGGTGTTTTTTTTTTTTTTTTTTTTAACACCAAGAATGTATTTGCACATGTTGTATATAGTAGGGATTTTATTTATTTATTTACTTTACCCTATTATTTTACATAGAAACATTATTTTATTCCTGATAAAAAAAAGAAATATATTAAATAGTATCACTATTTAACAGTGCCCTTGTATCCTTCTATTTAAGATTTGATACGTCTAACGCTTGGATGCATATCTACACCCGATACACGTGCATGTCGGGTTGACAAATTGACATGATCCATCAACACAAGTTGAACTCAACATGAATTTAGTGGTTTAGGGTTTACCTTAATCGTGTCAACCCATAAAATAAACACTTTGTGTTCCCCTTTATACAGTCAACCTATTAACTCGACTTGACTCGCTTAATTAAATGTTCTAAGGCAAATCATTTGATTTGATTTGACTCATTTAACTAAATGTATCGGGTCAACCCGTTGATAACTTCCAACATATTTAAATCAATATGGGGTTTTTTTTTTTTTTTTTTTTCCTTTCAATTCATGGTATTATTACGAAAACTAAGGTAGTTAATTTTTTAATTAATTAAGAATAAATTGAAATTTTAGTCATTTGACTCATTTATTAAATTTTCATTCAATATTTTATTTTTTTTTGTTATATTTGCATTTTATAGTTAAGAAAAAAGTTAATTGGTTGTGTCAATCAAAAGTTAAATAACCCATTCAATATTAAATAGTTTACACTAATTGTGTTAGGTTACATGTTTAATAAACGGATTGTGTTTGTTTCTAGGGTTTCTGACACAAATAATAAAGAGTTCCAGTTGACACGTATAATAGAATACACTTATCATGACATGAGACATGCACGATCCCCGGAAACACAATCTGCGTGTAACGACCCACTCCACCACATGGTATGATATTATCCACCTTGGGCCCTAGCCCACACGATTTTGCTCTTGGGTTTTATCCCAAAAGGCCTCATACTATTTGTAGTATTTAAAAGGTGTTTAGGTACTTTGAAGATTTATTGGATATGGGCTGTGCTAGTAGTCCATGGATCTTATTTTGGGTCAAGTTATATTATTAGGTCTTGGTATGTGACTTTTGATAGGTTAGAAGAGTCTTACCAGTCAATCTTTCAAAGCTCCTTCTTTGGGAGTCCTAGTCTGACTATCAGTAGGAGAAACCTAAGACTCTATGTTCAATGCAAAGAAGTTATTGTAAACGAATGAAGATTTTCTGATGTGCAATATAACCTAAACCTTGGGGATTAATCTTAAGGAATTCTAGGTGGCAACTCCTAGAAGATTTTCTCTTTTTTTTTTTTTTTTCTTTTTTTTTTTAAATAAAAAAAATCAATGCAATCAAAATATGTTATTTTAATAGCAATCAGCACTCAATAATTAGTTTTTTTTTTTTTTTTTCTTGGTACTTACACACCTATGCCTCCAGTGAAGCTCGAACCCCTGACCTCCCTTTGGGAAGTAGGTACTTGGTACCGCTGGGCCATTTACCCGTTGGTCACTCAATAATTAGTTTCTTATCCCAAAACCTTAATTCTATTATTCTAACCTATTCCACTACCTTTGGACCACTCCAGAAATTCTAATTTTTTACCCTTTATGGTTTCAGTGGCCAACTTTTTGCAACCAATCACTATGAAAACAAGTTATTTCTGATCCTATTCTATGTGCAGGCCCTGTATCCTTTCTTTAACCCGTTTAACAAAGTTCGTCAGTTTTCCACCACCTTGGCCCACCACAGAATCTGTCATAAGCAGCAAATATTGAGCCTTCAAGTGTGTCCTTTATTGACTATATAGTCTATATACTTCTCTGATTGGATCTTTGTGAAAATAATAGAGGTTAATGAGTTATAACAAGTATAAATTGTTATTCAAGCTGTAACTTTCGCTTTTATCAGGTTTTCGGCTGAGGTGGAACTTTAAAAATTAGGGGACTTGTCATCTGTAGTTGTATGAGACCAAAAAGGAAGAAGTTTCTTTGAATGACAAGCCTGAATTCTGAAACTCTCAGAATGTGGCTTATTCTCCTCATTAGTTGATCAATAGATCAATTTTTGCAAGCAAAACACATGCATTTACTTAGGAAGCTTTTACATTTAGCACTTCCCATATCCAATTTGGAATTCATGTGTAATTGTCATATTCATATAAAATTGTTTCTTGCCAGAAACAATATTCTGATTGTGGGGGTAGATTTCATCAACTTGTATTAGATTCAACCATTAGTATGCATTCTTATGGTATTGTTACTCTTGAATTTGACAGGATGAACGGGAACTTAAAAGACAGAAGAGGAAGCAATCTAACAGAGAGTCAGCGAGGAGGTCAAGACTGCGCAAGCAGGTAGGGATATGCTTTTGTGCACCATCTATTGGCCATTGTTGTTCCTTGACCAAAGACATAATTTATTATGGATTTATATGATTCACTAATTTTGATAATGTTTTCTGATCCCATCTATGTATTTGCCTCTCTTGAATACAATAATCAGACCGCATTACTTCGACTTTATTGATTTTCTTTTTTAGCTTATTGTAATAGCAGATGATATTCTTTAAGCTTAATGACCAAGCAAGAATTGTTGAAGCAAAAGGAAGAAGCATGCTATGATCTGAACCTGAATACTAAAGGTTCTGCATTTTATTATGAACTTCAATTACCAACAGGATTAAAGAGGAAACTTTGACTGTTTATCAATCCCATTCTGTATTTGTGTAGGTAAATTATTTTAGCTTATAGGAACCACTGAAATGTAATCAAAGTATAAGTTAATTACCAACAGGATTAAAGAGGAAACTTTTACTGTTTATCAATCCAATTCTCTATTTGTATAGGGAATTTAGCTTATAGGAACCACTGATATGTAATCAAACTATAAGTTATTTTATAATAAATAAATCTTTAACAAACAGATTATTCTGGCCACTTACCAGTACCATTGCATCTCTATATGTAGTGTAGTGTACTAGTATAAGCAGTACTATGCATATTGTCATGTCAAACGTAGTGCACATAAGTTGTAAATCCTTATGATGGAGTCATTTATAGGTCTATGATTCAGAGTATATTTTCCTATTTGATCCCTCCATATTCGAAGTGCTATCAGAAGTTCTGATGTCTTGTAAAATCTCAAAACATGTTTGATGTGTTTGGAAACATATATATATATATATATTTTGGTATATAAATTACTTGCACATCCAACTCACACGCTCACCCACTGTTACCATCAAGAGGAAAATTGGCACCCTTGTGTGTGTTGTTGCCAAATGGCACGCTGTGCATATTTGTGGCCCACATATTGGTGAAGGACCTCAAGGTAGTTCTTTTAGCTATCAGTGCCAATTGACTGCACTGCAGGAAATCATATTTTGCTAGTTGAAGGCTGCAAAAGGATGTATGATCAATCACTGAGAAAAGAATGAATGCTGCTGAGTTGACCTATGATAACCCTGTAGAGCTGAATTGGGCATAGGTTTTGCGTGCCAAACCACCCCATGCACTGGGTTAAGCCTTTAGTGAAAAAGGTCTCACATTGATTGTGGAGAGTCCAAACTGGTGAGAATTGTATTTACGTTTGTGTGTGTGTGTTGGGGGGTGAATGGGTTAAAATTGTACCAATGAGGTAATTAGAGTTATTGGAGTCTATACTCCAATAGAGGGTGTATTCCCCTAGTTAATTACTCAACAACTTGCTCACATGCAATTTATGCAACTTGGACAACTATTTAATTTTCATGACTAAAGTATAGGTCCTTTGAGGTCTCTCACTTAGAAGTGAACCTTTTATGCTTTGTTAAGGTACTTAAGCAATTTTGATCTTGTGAAGATCCTGCTAGTCTTCAGTTTCTGTCTGTTAGACAAAATGCTGAGAGCTAGTTTTCTGTGAGATTCTGTTAAACTTCTCTTGGAACATCAAGGCTTTAAATATTTGGATCTTGGTCTCCTTCCTGGTTGTTTAATGTATCACTTACTCTTTCATTTTCATGTAAAAGAATCATTGAAGTGGAAATTAATGAATGGAATGGAGTAAGTTTGGTTGGTGAAGAAAAAATCTGTCACTAAAGTGCTGGCAGTATTGTTAGAATGGCATAGGTCATTCATCTAGTTGAAAAATGATGCTTACAGGATAATCGAGTTACAATATTGATGATTACTGAAGAGCTCTAAAGCTCTTTAAGTTGAAGGAATGGAATGGAGAGACGTTTAGGTGGTTATTAGGAAAAAGTTCAGTTTGATAGGTTTACTAGATTGGTGGTTATATATCAGATGATGATATTTTCTTTCTGGAAGATATGGGATTGATGATCCTGAAATCTCCTTAAAATCTTATTTGTTTTGGATTGAAAGAGACTGCCTTTGAATGACTAAATTCTGATGTCCCAGCGAAAAAAAAAAAAAACAGAAGAATAAATTCTGATTTAAATTTGTTTCATTATATGTATATTTTTTTGTTAAGTAATTTGTTTCTATTATATTGCACATCATTGTTACTGAAACATAGATTGCAGAATGGTACTCGTGCGCACAAAGCTATGTTCAGTACATTAAACCAGGATAAGGCATGAGTGTATTTTCCTAGTGTTCCTGATACTTGAATAATTGGTAATGCACAATTGGATTAGACAAAAGGGTGTCAGAACTTTGACACGAGCAAAGCAAATATTCCCAAATTCTCTTAGAAATGAGGACTTTCTGACCTTGCTAATAATGTTTATATAAAATTCATTTTATAGAGAAATCTAGGAGCATTTTTTGATTACTGAAATTTTTTCCTCTTTTATGCCTTCAATAATATTGTAATGCTTATATTTTTAACAATGGCGTGCATTTTTTGCCCTCACCAGGCAGAGTGTGAAGAGCTACAAGGAAGAGTAGAGACACTGAGCAATGAGAATCGTACACTCAGAGATGAGATGCTGAGGCTTTCCGAGGAGTGCGAGAAGCTAACAACTGAAAACAATTCTATCAAGGTTTATTGCAACCCTCTTATTTAACTTGTACTATCCATTTTTTCTTGTTTGTGTTATTTCAATGCATTTTTTTCCCCCCACTCGTAGCTCTCCAATTTAAATTGTAGTAAAAAGGAAATGAAGAAACATAGGGAAGGAGCTGATTGTCAATCTTTATCGTTCAAAACAAGCATTGTCATTTTAATTTGTTTGCTCTAGATCATATGTAGTCATTACCCTTTTTGTTACTCTCTAGATAAAATGATTTACGGTGCTAGACAAGACGTATCACCTCTGCACAATCTTCAAATATTCATTCTCATTTTGTGTCTGTAAAAAATTTGCTTGTGTAACAGGAAGAACTAACTAGGATGTGCGGACCAGATGCACTATCTAAACTCGAGAATAATGGTACGGCACTTCACTCTCAGGGTGATGGAGGTAACAAATAAGAATTTCTCAGTGGGAGAAAAATTTATTTGGAAGTTCATCAGGAATCCATGAGTAATGTTTCTTATTCTTACTTACCTAATACCCTTAACCCTTTCCTTTTGCAAGGAAACTGTAACATTTATATATGTGATCCTAACATGAGTTGGGTTCCTTAGTTGATCTAGCGTGTTGTTGTAAAATTAATCAATTAAGAGAGAAGAAAAGGAGAGAGAGAGAGAGAGAGAGAGAGAGAGAGAGAAGAGTCTTGAAGAGATTTAGGTCTTCAACTGCTTGAATACAATGTCTTAATTATTTCTTGTGGAGCATTCTTTGGAGAGAGACTCACTTCAAGTGCTTGTTTTAATGTCACTGTTCTTGCATTTACTTTTTTAGCGGTCCATTTTTTGTTTTATTTCTGGCCAGAGGAACAATTATTTTGAGAAGGAGATAGTATTTTAGGGTTATGAATTTTAACCACAAGGAACGGAGGAGTGCTTGCTATGCTGCTACCTTTTAAACGCCTATATTCATAATGAACTTTTAAATTAAAATACTATGCAAATGTGATTAAGCATTTCAAATGTCATGAGAAATTATTTCATTTTTTTTATTTTTTATTCCCTTTATCAATAAAAACACACCCATTTGGTCTATAGAGGTTAAGGAGAAACTAATTCAAATTTAAATGATATATGTTTGGTGCATACATTTAATGACAACAATGTTTCTTAGGCTTTGCTCAATAGAAAATTTCATGCAAATATCGAGGGGTAGAGAGAGAGTTCAAGAAAACTTTTTTTTATAATACTACAAATTATCAAACTTTTCACAAATTTTTAAGCCAATACAACCTAACTTTTTATCAAATGGATCATAAAAGTTACTCTAACCAAAAGAATTGGAAAAGTGGATTAAGTCAAGTGGCAATAACAATGATAATGCCTTTGATAAAGTACGATCAAATTTCTTTTTATTTCACCAACTAATACTTTTTCAAATTTATTATTGAAAATAAATTCAAGTGCATAGCTCAAATAATCACCCTTTATAATCATACAGCAATTAGTAAGATCTTGATCTCATAAACCTCATTCCAATTCACATCACAAAATTTTGTGATCGGTGTGTGAGACAAAATTTCCTAATTAATTAATATCATAAATAAATAAAGGTCATATGTTTCCTGATAGAGTTTCAAACATTTTTGTTTGGAAACAAACCATAGTCCATATGTAACCAAACACCTATATAAGCTAGAAAACACCCAAAAAAGACCCAGAATACATACATTAAATTTCCAAACCTAATACAATAACACTACTAATAACAGTGATACTGATTACTGACATCCTAGCACTTCCATGCTGACGTGGCAACCATTGCCCTGTCATGCCAGCACAGCACCATCTCGGCCTGACGCTTCACCACGTGGAACCCTTTTACTTGCACCTTCCTTAGCAGACACTCAGCTTGAAAGTCAGCAAACAGACTCAACGCCACCGCTTTCATTCCTGAGCCGCCAAACGCCTCCCTCCACGGCGGCGCACGCCGTCCGGCCGCTTCCACCACCTCAAATATCTTCGGCCGCAGCAGAAACCTCTCAATCCCACGAATCCAATCGCCACAGCCACCACTAGCCGCCTCCAGAGACTCCAATACCGTCGAGTAGAATTCAAGCCCGTTGATCACCCTCCCACGGAACAACGACGTTCCACCGTCTATGCACCCCTCACCGTCGACGTACACCACCACATTCGGCGAAATTCGCCGGAGATCAGTCAAGAATCCGGCGCCGATGTGGCGGAAGATACTCGGAGACAAGAGAACGGCGGTCTTCTCTCCGGCCATGAACTTGATTGATTTGAACGACAAGAATTCGAAGGTCCGAATCAACAAAAAGTCGATTTCAAATCCGATTTTCAGTTCACGAGCGAACTGGCTCAGATTCTCCCTGATCAATCTCGACTCATTTTCGTACTCTTCAGAAACAACAGCAGTGATCCGAAGAATTCTAGGGTTAGGTTTTTGAGAATCGGTTCTGTCCGCAATTTCTTTCATGAACGAAGCCCAGTGTCCACCGAGTCCGATTTCGAAGTCGATGACATGGATGAGCCTCGAACCATCCACGGCTTCAAGAATCGCTTGATTGGCAGTGAAATTGGAGATCATGACGATCGGAGAGATGTTGGAGAAAGTTTTGTAGGCTTTGATGGTTTGAACGATCTCCGAGGAAGAACGAAAACGAGTCGGACGGTTGGACTGGGTGAGCAGAGACTGAAGAGCTTCTTTGAAGTAAAACGCAGCCCTGAGAAGGGGTTTTCCGATCGGAGATTGCAACTGTTGATTGAGCCGCGCCAATATCACCTGCGCGAGTTGTAACTCGTTCGATTCGAAGCAATCGGCGACACGAATGAGTTCGTCCACAATGTCAAACTCAATGTTAATATTGTTGTTTGGAACAACAGAGTTAGAATTGAGACTCAAACTCGGATTCGAATAGGTATCAGAGAAAGCGAAATCAGAGGGAGGAATTGGAAATTCGGGGAGAATTGGGAATTGAGAGTCGGAGTGAGTTAATAGAGGAACAGTGGAATCGTCATGTAAACCCAATTCTCTAACCAAGGAATTCCAATCCTCAGAGTTATTCAATAAATGGTCGACCCAAATCAGAGTTGGGTCGTCAGACTGTAACAAAGCGTCGGAGAGGACGGGAAAGTCGGAATTTCCGGCGGGTTTATCGGCGACGGGGCTAGGGCTTCGGCGGAGGTCAAGAACCGACTTGGGTTCGTATGGAGCAGTAGTACTCCGGACCGTATTGTTGCGATAGAGTGGTTTGGGGTGGGATGCTTGGTGGTTTTTGGGTGTGGTGAACGGAACTTTCATAGCTAAACGGTGCTTACAGGTACACAAACTCTCTCTCTATCTATATATGTATATATTTCTGTTGTTTTGATACTGAAGTAGTTGGGTTTGGAAATGGAGAGAAGAGGGGGGGGCTTTAGGAGGTTATGATTGAGGCTTTTTATGTTTGCGTGCGTGCATGGGGGTGTAATGGTTCATGGCATGGCATGGCATGGCATGTGTGGGTAATATTAACAGTATATACACATGGAGGACACAAGTCAGAAGATTGATTGCTTTTATCTTCTGGGAAGCTTCCTGTTGAAGTTCAAAAGCCATACTTTGTTTGATTCGCGACTCCACTAGTGGAGGGTTTCAGATATCAGTCCACACCTAACTCAAGCTACAATCCTAACTTTAATCCCCCATCCCACTTTCAATCTAATTTCGGACTTTTTTTTTTTTTAATATAAAGTTAAATTGAATTCGAAGATATTAAAGGATATTTTTATAATATATAAAAAAAATTAATTTTTAATTTAATATTAAATAATAAAATCAAATTTATCAGTTTATGATCAAACATGATTTTTTTGAAATTAACCTTTTAATTTATAAACAACAAATGTTTTTTTTTTTTACATGATTGCCAAGTTGTCATACTAAGTGGGACCTCCAAATTTGGTTTAACGCTTTGACATAACAGGTGACGCATAAGTGGGACCCACGAATTGAGGTGGAGAGTACACCTGATTGCCCTTGACCCATCAGTGGACCCACTCCGAGGATTTTGTCTGAAATGCATGGGATGTTATAAACGTCCGAAATGTAGCATATACATGCCTTTGTTTGATATATGATGAGCGCGTAGATATCACGAACGCTCCTAAAGCTACCGACTTTAGCTCCAACTAGAAAGAGGAATATGTTCCGCTGTGATAGTGCATCGTTGATCGACCAATCCATCTCCTCCATTTACCAAACCAGGACACTACCATATATATATATATATACCTTTTTATTTTTGATTTGTGGACTTTAATACAAAAGTTTACAACCTTCTAAAAGATGTTTCAAGTCTCTTTATGTATATTTATTACTTATACATAATAATATACTATAAATACATAGTATAATATATGGAACAAAAGAAAAAGTGCATATAATATAGTTAACACAATTTAATAAGTATGACAGCTTTTATATTTGAATATATACCCTGACAAATAACGAACTCACCTAATTTGTTTGCTCAACTTTTTAGTTTAATTTTGTTTTTTTTTTAAAAAAAAATAAAATAAAAAATCACTAGATAGACTAAGAATTTTTAGAGGTGCTATGTGTTTACAAAAATTAACAATTGTTGGCATCCTGTCACATGCTAGATTGTTGTGATAATCGCACAAAAAGAGGATCCGATGCAATGATAAGCAACCTTCTAGTTCTAGATTATCATGTTTAACCTTTTGTTTTAGTCATCTCTTTTCAAGTGTAGAGCATTTTAATAAAGTCCTACACCAAATAGGTTTAGCTAAAACGAAAAAAATAGGCTTCGTTTTATTTCCTTTGTTTCTTTTCTTCGTTAATGATTAACCAAGAAACACATGTATTGGATACTCGTGTTTCAGTGCCATTCAGTAGGCAGATTGAAAGCCACGTCATTATTATTCTATAAGGATGCGAATGGGCTTTGAATACAAGTCCAAATTTGATGTTTGAGACTGTTGGTGTTTTATTTTTTTTTAAGGTAAAGTACAATCACACTCTTTGATGATTGGTAAAAAGATATTTAGACGAAAACTTACCTATTTTTGGACAAAGATACTCCTATATATGAAAAATTGACCAAATTACCCTTTAACCGTTTATGAGACTTTTTTAACTTTACAATTTAATAAATTGGACCAATCTACCCTCATGAATAATTTATGCATAAAAAAAAAAAAAACTTTATATTATTCACTTTTCTTTTTTTTTTTGTTATTTACTTTATAAATGTCCCAACTTCTTAAAAATATAGATGTCTAAAATGATTTTTTGATTCAATACATATATTTCAAATAAATTATATTTTGTTATTATTTCTTTTCTTTTTTTAAATTTTTTTTAAATTAAGATATTTAATTCTTTTATCTAAAAAAATTAAACCAATCTCTTTTCTTTAAAAATAAAAAATATGATACCGGTATAACTTTATGTATCTTAAATTATATATTAAATATCATCTTAAATTATTTATTCGATTCAGTCTTCCATTTTATACCATATCATTGGTAATGTCTAGCGCATAAAATAACCAACACCAAACTTGCCTGTCATGTATAATATACATTCTTAAAAATGTATACATTATATAACACTATGGAAAAAGTTTTGAAGTCAAAATTAAACATACAGAATATTATTCAAAATTCAAAGAGCTATAATTAAGTTGTGCATGGAGATAGCTTTATCGAATGACGATAATGAAATGGACATATTAACGCTAGCTATGACAGCAAGAGCCATAGCCATAGCCATCACATGAAACCGAGAGTAGTACATATTTTAAATCAAATAATACAAGTAGTTGAGCATCTAAGTCTATCTTTTGGAATATTACAAAAAGTAAACATGCTTTAATATTGAATTGGTCATGTCAGCTCCTGAAAATATTCTTGTACAAACAAAAAGCATATACATATATATATGTGTGTGTGTGTTAATTAAAGTGATGAAATAAGTTATGATTAACAGTGTGACTAAATGGTTGTATCTGGAATTTAATTAATTAAGGTTATAATTAATATAAAAGGTGTGATGATGCAAGCAAGTAGTGGGGAGAGGGAAGCTTGTGGAATACAAAAGAAGAGAAAGGGGGGGTTGAGATTCTGGCTGATTGAAATCATACATATAAAGATTGTGGCATGCACTTCTTGATCAGCCACAGCTAGCCCGGCCCTAACAACTAAAAAGTAAAGGCAAAGTGGCAAAGGGTAAGAGAAGTAATGGTGATATAGACATGGCATTAGGGTGGGGGTATCTTGTGTCTTGAGAAGCAAATAATGGTGGTCCTTTCACTACAACAGGGTGTGATCCATGGGATATGTTAATTTTGCTTTCAAAAATACCCCTTGATTCAACTACTTCACTTTGTGCCCACCATCATTTCTAATTTTATGTGATTCCCCCACATTTAATATTAATTATACACATGAGGTTACCTCTCTCTCTCTCTCTCTCTCTCTCCACACACACACAATGGGAAATGTCCCTTAGTTCAATAATGTTAAAAGGGTTTACTACACACAAGCAAGGCAAATATGGAGAAGATGAGGAGTAATTTCCCAAAAATATTTGTGCAAAATTATTGAATTACACTTTATTTTTATGGTGTATGTTCAATAATTCAATTCATCACTTAATTTTAAATGGATTAAGTATTTATCATTGAATTAAAATTCAAAAAGATATCTACAGTTTTTGTTGTCATTAAAAAAATTTCAAATCTTTTTAGCCTCCAAACGATATTTAGTGGTATTAAAAACTTCAGTTTTTGATAAAACAACAAATATAATTTTTTCTAGTTATAAGATAGCTCATTAGCTATGACCTCTATTTTAATTAATGAATTGAAAGATTTATTAAATAATTCATTTAAATTTTTACATATTTAAAAAAAATATCTTAATTCAGTGGTTAAATATAAAAAACTTGTAACTTTTTTTTATTTATTATGGAGCTCTCTTGAGAGTATTTATTATTTATTCACTCACAAATCAATCAGATTCTAACAGGCTGGGTTGTCTTAAGATTTATAACCCATGATCGGGCCCAAATTTGATCGGGCCTAAATACTTTAGCCCTTCACACCCCAATCAGCCTATATTATTAGCTTATTTCAGCCTGAAATGAAGACGAGAATACCCGGGCTTTTTGGTCATGACCCATGTGCAGGATTAATGAATTCAGAACTAAACCCATCTGGTCCAAAACAAAACGGCCCATTTCTTCCTGCTAATTCTGCTAACAGAAAATCGTCTATAACGCCAAAAAATAAGATAAACGAAACTAAAAGGAAACAATTGCATGAGACTTTATCTGCTTAGATTCAAGCAGCTGCCATGTGTCACGTTGAACAAGCACGTGTCACTGATAGTGCCACCTAGTTCATTCCACTCCTCGTCACCTTTCCCAATAAATCCATCCTCATTCCCCATTCAGCTACCATATCTCTCTCTCTCCTCTATCTCTCTCTCTCTCTCTCTCTCTCTCTCTCTAGCAATGTCGAAGATAGCTATGCTCCGGCCATTCCCAATTCTGATATTCTTGTTTTGCTTTCTTGTTATCACTTTGAATGCAACAGCTTTGGATGATGAGGATGTCCCATTTATGGGACCTCTGGTGAAGAAACAGCATAGGAGGTCACTTGTTTCAACGGAGTATGGAGAGATCTCAGCCGTCGAAATCAGTGATGGAGTAAGAGGGTCCTACCATCTTCAGTTCATCACATTGGAGCCAAACGCCCTATTTCTTCCTGTAATTCTCCATGCAGACATGGTGTTCTATGTCCACTCAGGTGCATGCTATATCATTCAAAACTCACACCATTTTTCATAGTATAACTTGACAAAAATACATGTGAAGTGCATTTCTTGTATATTCCCTTTCTTATATATATATATATACCCACTGTTGGGTGTAGGGAGTGGGAGATTGAGTTGGGCAGCTGAGGATGAAATGAGACGCGTCAGATTACGCCAAGGAGATGTCTACAGACTCACTCCTGGCACTGTCTTCTTTGTACAAAGCAACTTAGAACCAGAGAGGCAAAAGCTTAGAATTAATGCCCTCTTTGCTAATTCTGATGATGACTTGCATGTAAGTTTTTATTTATTTATTTTTGGGTAGAATAAAACATTTTTTCTTGTTTAATAGCTGACTGTTTGTGTTACAAAAATTGCATTACTATAATACAGCAACCATCAGTTGGGGCATACTCGAGCGTCCGCGATCTGGTCCTAGGGTTTGATAGGAGAGTCCTCCAAGCATCCTTCAAGGTACACCAGAAATCTCATTTAACCCTTATTTTATTTAGAAATATGGTGTTATTTCAACCATCCATGTCCTCTCAAGAATCCGTTCCGAGTAAATGAGAACATAACATATCAACAGACAGCAAATGAGATGTTGTATATTAGAGTAATTCAGAAATAACAATGAGAAAAATATCATTTCAGATTGTGATTCATGTTAAAAGCTATTCCAATCTTATTTTATTTCTACATTTGATTGCAACAACACTTAATTTCTACATAATTTTAAGGTAGGCCTTCTGAGGACTGATTCTACACAATAGTTCCAAGTCATTTATGTCTAGCTTGTTAAATCTAATAGATGTGTTGAAAATGGATGGTTATAGGTCCCTGAGGAACTGATACGAGAAATAACACAAGGCACAAAGCAACCGGCAATTGTGCACGGGGTGCCAAAGAAAGCAAGAACATTCTGGGAGTGGGAAGCTCAGCTCATGAAAGGTATCATAGGAAGCAAAGGGTACAGCATGTTCGATATCAACAACAAAAAGGAGAAAACCAGAACATTCAACATTCTGAGTGCAGATCCAGATTTTAAGAATTGTAACGGATGGAGCCTCATAGTAACCAAGAAAGACTTGAACGCGCTAAGGGGTTCCAATATTGGCGTTTTCATGGTGAACTTGACCAAGGTCAGTTGCCAGAGATCTATTTATTGCATTCTCTTATCATGTAATCGTTAAGATGATACATAACTGATAGGTTCATTGATTCTAATCTCCTTTAATTGATGTGTTCTTAAAGGGATCGATGATGGGGCCACACTGGAACCCAACGGCTACAGAGATAACGACAGTAGTAAAAGGGCAAGGAATGATTCGGGTGGTCTGTCCTAGCACTGCGAAAGAATCGGAGTGCAAAAACATGAGGTTTAGGGTCGAGGAAGGTGACGTATTTGTCGTGCCAAGATTTCATCCTATGGCTCAAATGTCCTTTAACAATGACTCGCTTGTTTTGGTGGGATTCAGCACCACAACAAAGAAAAACCATCCTCAGTTCCTTGCAGGGAAAAGCTCTGTGCTCCAAACTCTTGACAAGCAAATCCTAGCTGTGTCCTTCAATGTTCCCAATACAACCATTGAACAGCTTTTAGCTCCACAGGGTGAATCAATCATACTAGATTGCACATCTTGCGCCGAGGAAGAAGAAAAAGCAATGGAGGAAGAAATTGAGAAGGAAAGAGAGGAAGAGGAGGCAAGGAGGAGGGAGGAAGAAAAGAGGAGAGAAGAAGAAGAAGAAGCCAGGAAGAGGGAGGAGGAGGAAGCTAGAAAGAGGGAGGAAGAAAAGAGAAGACGAGAGGAGGAAGAGGAGGCCAGGAGGAGGGAAGAAGAGGAAGCTAAAAAAAGAGAGGAAGAAAAGAGAAGACAGGAGGAGGAAGAGGCCAGAAGGAGGGAAGAGGAGGAAGCTAAAGAGAGAGAGGAAGAGGAAGCTAAAGAGAGAGAGGAAGAAGAAGCCAGGAGGAGGGAGGAGGAAGCTAGAAAGAGAGAGGAGGAGGAAGCCAGTAGAAGAGAGGAAGAGGAAGCTAGGAGGGAAGAGGAGGAAAGAGAGGAAGAGGAAGCTAAGAGAAGGCAAGAGGAGGCGGCAAGGAGAGAAGAGGAGGAAGCTAGGAGGAGAGAGGAAGAGGAAGCCAGGAGAAGAGAGGAGGAGGAAGCTAGGAGGGAAGAGGAAGAGGAAGAGGAAGCAAGGAGAAGAGAGGAGGAGGAAGCTAGGAGGGAAGAGGAGGAAATAGAGAAAGAAGCCAGGAGGAAGGAAGAGAAAGCTAAGACGCTCCAAGAGGAGGCGGCTACAAGGAGAGAGGAAGAGGAAGCCCAGGCAAGGGAACAGGAGGAGGAAGCTAGAATCAGAGAGGAAGAGAAGGCTAGGAAGAGAGAGGCACAAAGAGAGCAGGAGAGAGAGTGGAGAAGACAAGAAGCAGCACAGAGGGAGGAACAAGAGGCTAGGCAACGAGAAGAAGAACAGAGACAAGCAGCTGAAGAGGCCAGAAAAAGAAAACAAGAGAGGGAAGAGGAAGCTAGGGAGAGAGAAGAACGGGGGAGGGGTGAAGGACCTGGGGAAGAGGGTAGGAGAGTTCTGAAGAAAATATGGAAGGTCTGATAGTCTTTCGTGTGAATCCAATTACTCAGCTGGTGGTGTTTGCTTATGCATATAGATCAATAAAAACTTTCAGGGAGTTATGTATTTAGGTTCAATGTTTATTTGTGTAATAAGTAGTTTTGAGATCCGAGTTTCTGACTACATTGGTCTATGTAGAGTTACTGGTTCTTTGCCACGGTGAACTGTCTTCCGATCTTCATTTTTGACCAAATCTCTAGAAACCAAAATCACTGCTTTCAGGACATTGGCCTCTGCTTTTAGAAGATTAAATTGCTCATTTGAGATGTTAATGTACCAAGTGGTCCTAGGAGTTTTGTCGAGTTCACGTTCGATCGGCTTCCAATCTTTCAATTAAATGTGCATGATTTCCAAACTTTCATCTCGGCATATGCTTTAGAGAGCTCTGAACCCTGAAATTTTCACTAGTTCTCTATAATCCTTTGGCCAAGAATTTTTGAGATGAACTCGACTTCTCATCTAATTTCTTGATATTTTTCACAATTGTCTTAAAGCTAACTCACAGCATAAAGTTTTGAACCACCCTCTAAATGGGAAAGTTAAAATTCGAAATTTCACAAATTCTTTGGCCATAAAATTTGAATGAGCCATACCTTTTTGTTATTTCACCTAATCTTCCTAAAATTTTCACAATTTATCAGTTTGACCTCAAGGTGGTTTACTAATTCTCAAAAGGAATTTTACAGGATGAGGGAAAAACAACCTATTGAATTGGTAGATCTCCTCAAGTCGCACACAGAAGGATTTATAGAGGATGAGGGGAAAACAAACTTCTTGATGTTCAACTTCTACTGCATGTTTATGGCAGTAATAATTTTAAGAGGGGAAGAAAGCTTTCTTGGATGTCAATGTTGACGTTCTTACAGTGTCTGTGACAAAAAATAGAATAACATGCTTCATGTTTCTGTATTACCATACAAAGCATTGCTCATACACACAAAACAGAGTGATGACAAAGAAACTCACATTTAGGTCGAGCTGGTGATATAAGAAACAACAACAGTAATATCATCAAGTTTGCCACCGTAATAACGGAAGCCAGCATTTTGAGCAGCAGTGGAAAACGGTGTCTGCCTGTTTCTGTCCTGAGCTCTCTGGCGTGCCAATGCAGCAATCTTCTGGGCTGTTACCTGGGGCCCCAAGCCGTCCCTAACCGCGTGTACAACAGCAGCAGTTATCTCATTGTTATACAAGTTATCAAATAATCCATCTGTACCAGCAACAACAACGTCTCCTGGTGCAACTGGAATCGTAAAAACCTGCCAACATTTATCCCAAAACCCGTGAAATAACTCCAAAACAATCAATTCTTTAACAGTCTATGAAAGGAGATAATAAACATCTTAACTGAGGGATTAGATAAGACACCCATTCAGGCGTAATCTCTTTTTATATTTGAATCAGATGGAAATAATACATTTTGGCAAACAAGAAGCCCTCAACAGGAAAAATATCAGGATCCAAAACTCTAAATCCATGAAGTTTATAGCTAGAATGTGCTCTGGATTCAGACAGTTATGGTCTTAATTTATGGTATTAAATCAGTTATGATCACAATTTTTTGGATTCATACCGGAATTAGCAAGTTTTACCTTAGTATACACTATGCACCTATTCAAGTGCACAAATTTTTACGATAACTACACAAGGACAATAGGGTCCTTGTATATGCTATTATGTTGTGATATTTCAATTATAGGCATTGCAACATCTCACATTATTCTTGTTACAGAACGAAAGCTAAAACCTACCCCGGCCAAAAACCCAGAATTGAACAGCAATTGAAGGGAAGCTTTACGGAACTTGAAATAACGCTATCTACGATTGGTTTAAAGGTGGAGTTGGATTAATGAAAGCTTGTAGGGTGAGAAAGGGTCTGGAACCATGGTTTAAACTCGCGATATCGGTCAATGACTCGATTATAGCATCACCGGTTAGTATCGGATGAGATTTACTACGTGTGAGGCTTGAAAAACATATAAGAAATCATGCAAAATTAGAAGTAAAAAGAACACCAAAAATTTGCATAAAACAAACAAAATGTTCATGGGTTTAATGAACAGATATGTGCTTTCCAGTCCCTACTACTATAGGGATGGCAATGGGGCGGGGCGGGGATCTCATTCCCCATCCCCATCCCCGCTGAATTTTTCAATCCCCATCCCCGCTTAAAATTTTACCACCACCCCCACACCCGCCCCTAACCCCTTATCCCCGTCCCCGCCCCATCCCCAGCCCCGATTAACTTATATTATTTTTTTAAAAAAACATAATTTTTCTTATTTTCATATATATATATATAATCTAATTTCTTAATAAATTATTAAATGTAAGGGTATATTAGTAATTTAACACTTAATCGGGGCGGGGCGGGTTTACCCCATCCCCGCTATAAATAGGGCGGGGCAGGGCGGGAACCCGACGGGGATGGGAAATTTGCCATCCCTATACTACTAAGATGCTTCCAAAATGATTAAATGAATGAACAGTTTATAAGCCTTCTGACTAGCCAATTGCAAAGCTGGAATAAGAGTGTGATGCAGCTACTGGAAAGCTGAGGTTGTGGTATACAAAAATGGTTAAATTTTCACATTCAACATGGCCATAAGATGCATCTAATCTTTCATCAACATAATCACAAACCACAACAAATTCATAGTTTTAGTTCAATTAAAGTACTGCTACTAAAGAAATAAATACAAGGCGAAGCAGTTCATTAACTGACCTCACCAGAACTTGGTAGATCACCTCCGTTGCCACTTTCCAGTTGATATGTAAAATTGAAACCATGCTGCTGCACAGGGGATTGGAAGATAGTGCATCCCTCTCTGACTACAATAAATCCACTGTCCCCTAGATTAATTGCATGAATACCCTGCTGCAATTGGCAAATCAGATTAATCCAGTCAGTAATAAGAAGTAAATGACCCTAGGTTTTCACATTTCAAAGATCACACGTGTATTTAGAGTTCAAACTTGAGCAATTTTCACCCTAAAAAACAGTTGATTTACAGAAGTTTATAATGACACCAGAGGAAGTAATTACACAAATTTGACCCTAGCATCATGAAAGTAAAAATGGAAGGAAGAATAACAACTTCAAACCGGTGAAGGACAGCTGGAACTTTAAAGCTAAGTAGCACTCTAGGCAAATCCAACAAGAATCTCCATTCGGTATTGGTAATCAACAACATGAAAAGATAAATGCATCATAGCCAACCTGATTGACCCCTAACTCACCCCAACTATTGGCCCAGTCCACTTTTTTTTTTTGGTTGTTGTTGTTGGGTGGTGGGGTGGAGTTAAACTCCCATCTCAGAATCTCCTTTAACAAAACAATGCTTAATATTAAATGAGCTAGAGCTCATTATACGACAATAACTCTTCAGACTTTGCTTCTAACAGGCTTACGGCATCTTTTAGGCTAAGTTAAACCCCTTTATGTAATCCATGTCCAAGAATATTTCTCATGGTCAGAAGAGTGGCCAGTTCATTCACTATATATGAGATTTGTGACTGTTGTGTTAAGAACTTAAGACATTACAATTCATAGAAAACAGCCAAGTGGTTTCAGTTGTGTTACAGTTCCAGGTGTAGACTTGAGAAACTTAGGACCTGCTTGGTTCAGTTTATTAAAATTAGATTTCTGTCTTCAGAAAATAGAAACACATAACAATTCAAAACTTTATTTGATCACTAGTTTTCTGAAAGCTATTCTCCAGAAAAATGAGATAACACATGTCAAGAAAACAGTCTTTTCTTTTTTTTAGTTCTCTAAAACTAGTTTTCTATTTTCAAGAATTCTTGAAAAGTTTTTAAAAAAACTACACCAAACAGATCCTTAGTAATTGCAATTACAGATAACAGTTTTGTAATCCTAATGATACAATAGTTATTTTTTTAGAAAATTATTTGTCCCTTGAAATGCTAATCCAGACCAAACCTCCACCCTAGAAGTGGATTTGAAACCACTGTTTTAGCCAGCCAAAAGACAACAGCATAATAACTTTCATCCTAAACTAACATCTAATTCACCATAAAAAGTTCACAAAATTGCCGGATTGTCTATATCAAGGAAAAGCTCACAATGAGAGTAGCAATAATCCTGCCATCCAGAAAGCAATCATTTTTCATGCTCATTAATGACAGACATGGATCTTTTTCTATACCAATAGGTCATTTGATGACATTGATCAAAGAGAACATGGTTTTCCTATATTATGGATAGATGAGGTAAGGATATACAGCAAACCTGGTTTGTAAGGGCTATGATGCAGGCTGTTGAGGAGCCCTTGGCTTTTGTGATTGAATGAGCTTTCTCCAGCACCCTAGAGGGGTCAATAGAACCCTTCGGCTCGTCCTGAATTGCTGTCACTGTATGTGACATTAGTTCACGGGAGAATAATCCTGCATTAACACCCACATCTGCCCAGCCACCAACACCATCTGCTACACCAATGGCTTGTTCATCTACACAAATAAAGTGTGCATCCTCTCCTCCCGTTTCTTCTTTATCAGGATGGGGCAGATAACATGATCCAGAAAGCAGCTTCAAGGTTCTGTCACCCACAATATTTCTGATGTCAAAAACAAGCAGTAATAATTAGGAGAAACTGCAGGGAGATCATTACACAATCAAAGAAAACTTGCTATACTGCTACTTTGACCTTTCATTCATTCTCTAATTGTCTCTTTTAGGCAGGACTCTATCCCATGCTCAAAATAATATTTCAGTCCCCTAATAAATATTCACTCTAGTAGATGTCAGTTACACAACCAATTAGAAGTACAAATTTCAAGAGTTTTATCCTTCTCATCAAAGAGGACTACAAATTTCATACAATAAAGGTCCAGGATACACAACAAAAACATTCCACTTAGGAAAATATTCTTCTTATAGTACTTCAGTTAAGTGGGCACTAGGGAAAAAATTTTGTGCGCTTCCAGGACTGCATTTGTGCATACCATAAGCTTTATAGAACATGAATGTTTATGCAGGGGTCTACACATGTTTAGTATGAGAACTATGATTTAGTTTAATAATATAGAGATATCAACTGCCAGCCTTCATTATAAGATCTAGCATCTTGTTTCCCTTCTTTTGAGTTTTCTATCACACAATTTTGCCAGGTGTAGCCACTCTATCACACTTAAATTCCATGGTTATGCATCGGTTTTGGTGTTTTTTTTTTTTTATTTGTTTTGGTAAGTTGGTGTTTTCCGCCTTTTCTTTCTGTGTCAAAGTACAATCGCTGGAACCTTTTGCTGATAACTAAAATCTGTATCCTGTTTAACTCCCTTTTGCTGCTAGGGATTGATGATTAGGGAACAACATACCATTTTCCAAAATTAAAGAGTAGGTCCAGAGTTACGTATTACTAAACCTCCAATCATTACTTCAATTAAATTAGACTAAACTAACAGTTGAAATTGCAAAAGTAGAGTAACAATTATCAGATAGATTTCCAGGAAAAATATGTAAACTAAATTAAACACAAGATGGGAGCACGTACTGATCAGCTGAGACTGCAGCATTTCCAACCTGTTCATCACATGATGATTCATCGAATGACACATCAGGCACAGCCCGATCAGAGTAGTTTGGAGAAGAGGAGGTATGGAAGTCTCTCAACCATGATCCAACAAGTGGATTGCAAGACCTCCGTGTAACATCAAATATAAAATAACCAAAACTTAACCGGGCATTGGTTGGTTCTCTATTTCTCAGACTCATGCTAGCTTTGCGGCAACTCTGAAGATTCCTATCACTGAAATAAACACCCGTGGGTTTTACAAAATTTGACACATTGCCACAACTTGTGATGAAGGTATCGACAATAAGATCTCTGGAGGCAGCTTTGGAACCAGAAGCAGCCATTGCTTTTCTACAACACTGATTGCTTGGATACTCAGAAACCAGACCGGTTAATCCAGTAACAAACGTAGCGGAATGTGTTTGAGATACAGCTCCAACAACAAATAGATTATTTTTCTGATTACCCAAATCACAAACTAGTCTTGAAGTAAAGGGTCTACTGGGTATGCTCGTGTGACTGGGAACCGGGGAAGAATAACACAACCCACAACTCAAAATCGAGAATCTTCGCTTACTAAGAAGCAATTCTATCGAATTACAGGAACGGCCTCGTTGCAGTCTTATAGATTTTTGAAAACCACAACAGAAAGCAGTGTTCAGATTTGAAATAAAACCGGATGGCATTTCACTCCCCTGAGTAAATAACCCTTAATTCAGTTCATATATAGAAGGTTAACTCCAATAATTTCTCGTATATGATTTAGGGTTCTTCGATAACAATGTATTGAAATTCTGCAACCTGATATATGAAGAGAAAATGAGGCAGGTAAGGAAGTCTGTATTTCTAATTTAATCCATGTACATATATACATATATGTAAATATTTCCAGATGAAAAAATTGTAAACTAAAGGAAAATGAAGAACACCTTCTGAAATTTTCGAATATGCTTGAGAATATAAAGCAAAAAATAATGATTATAATGATATAATCAAGAAAATCAAGCTTGGTCGAAAGAAGATGAGTTTAAAAGGAACCTGTGAAGACAAACTCGGGGCTGTACTCGATCGATATGAGAATGAAAACACTAGAAAGCAAGGTGGTTCACAGAAAGCTCCGAAGACCGAAAGGGCTTCGGAGCTCTGTTCTGTTCGTCGTCTTCTTCTCTCTCTCTCTCTCTCTCCCCTCAAGTTGGCGTGAGGTTTTACCCTTCACTGTAACCCAAACTAAAACAACAAGGGAATAAAAAAAGTGAAGGCTTGCAATTACTCATTTACCCCCTTACTACTAGCAAATTAGCGAAATGATGGATCGAGAAATGATATGGGGGGTATTGGCAAAAAATATATATATATTATATTGGATTTTAAAATTCTCAATTTTTTTTTTTAATAGATCAATTAACCATGCTTATTTATAACCTTTTGATATTTTCATAATTTATCTTCTTCTTCTTTTTTCTTTTTTTTTTTTCTTTCTTCCTTGTCTCAAACTGGCTAAAACACATTTATCAAGTAAAAAATAAGATATACTAGTGCACTCTTTTTTTTAGGTAATTATATTATTTATCTTTTTAGTGTATATTTCTCTTACTATATACTATTTATCTTAAAAAATAGTTGGTTAATTTTCATGGTACTCCTTTCAAATATGAATTTCGGCAGGTGTCCAAATTTAAAATTTTTATATCCAAACCAATTCCAAGTGATAAAGTAAGGTAAAATCTAGATGAAGACCGTTTAACAAATTTGATTGATTTAACAAAATTAACTTATTACTTGACTTGGATAAATAAGTTATTTTTGACCTATTTTAACAATTTTTAATTATTAATTTTTTTTTTTTTATCTCACCTACAATAAAAAAATAATAATAAAAAAAAAAGTGAGATTATGACTTAATAAAATAGATAGAAGTGTGATAAAGCTAAGTTGTTTCAGATTCAACTATGTTTTTTGAGATAGTCAAACAGATTTTCACTTTGTAATATCTTAAGCAGTCGTGAAGCTTGTATGTCTTCTGGGGAGAAATGCATCTTCTTCTTAATCTTTTTGAAAGTTGGAGCATGACCCCTAAAATTTTTAGGATAATTTATTTGAAAGTGTTATAAAGAATGTCTCTAGAGCTAAAATTGAAGCGTTTGGAATCATGGGATGTCTTTACAAATAAATAATAAAAAAAAAAAAATTAATTGATATTCAGACATATTCTATTTTTTGTACTCCTTTTACAAATTTTAGGACCAATATTTTAACACTGCTTCTTCATCTTTTATTTATTTATTTTATTTTCCGCTTTGGCACTTTCTCTACTCATTTATAATAACCATAAACTAGTCCTGTAGTGTGGCCACCTATTTGGGCAGGTGTGAATAGGCACCTAGTGAGCTCGACAACTATAAGTTTGCACAATCTAAATCACACGGAGTCAGAACGTAAAAGCGACAAAATCTAAGTCACATAAAGTAAAAATAGGAGCAAGACAGGGTGCAAAGCTTGAGATTGAGATTGAGCTCGGAGTGTAAGAGTGACATTAATTTTGTAACTTACTTCACATGGAGAATGTGATGGTGATAACCGTGATATGCATATATATATATACTGGTTCTATCTCCGAATGATATGAGGAGGGTAAAGTCCAAGAACAAAACTTTATAGGCTCATGACTAAAATGAACAATATTATATCATGTGATGGATGGAGTGGGTCAATACAAATTATATCAATACAAATTATATCCTAAAATTTGAATGAAGAAGCTTGTATGTCTTCTGGGGAGAAACGCATCTTCTTCTTAATCTTTTTGAAAGTTGGAGCATGACCCCTAAAATTTTTAGGATAATTTATTTGAAAGTGTTATAAAGAATGTCTCTAGAGCTAAAATTGAAGCGTTTGGAATCATGGGATGTCTTTACAAATAAATAATAAAAAATAAAAAAAAATAATTGATATTCAGACATATTCTATTTTTTGTACTCCTTTTACAAATTTTAGGACCAATATTTTAACACTGCTTCTTCATCTTTTATTTATTTATTTTATTTTCCGCTTTGGCACTTTCTCTACTCATTTATAATAACCATAAACTAGTCCTGTAGTGTGGCCACCTATTTGGGCAGGTGTGAATAGGCACCTGGTGAGCTCGACAACTATAAGTTTGCACAATCTAAATCACACGGAGTCAGAACGTAAAAGCGACAAAATCTAAGTCACATAAAGTAAAAATAGGAGCAAGACAGGGTGCAAAGCTTGAGATTGAGATTGAGCTCGGAGTGTAAGAGTGACATTAATTTTGTAACTTACTTCACCTGGAGAATGTGATGGTGATAACCGTGATATGCATATATATATATATACTGGTTCTATCTCCGAATGATATGAGGAGGGTAAAGTTCAAGAACAAAACTTTACAGGCTCATGACTAAAATGAACAATATTATATCATGTGGTGGATGGAGTGGGTCAATACAAATTGTATCAAAATCGGAGCCCAGCCAAAAGTGTGGCCAAAAAGGGCATTGGGCCCTTAAGGGAAATGATTGTGGCAAACTGTGTAAGAGGATGTGACATGGGAGTGTGTGAATAAGCACTAAACAAGTTATAAGTTGCGCAATCTAAGTCACATAGAGTGGGAACGAAAGCAAAAGCGAATTTGAGAGCGAAAGCTTTACATTTTGCTTATCCATTGCACAAGGCAACCCAATCCACTATATAAGGTTACAATTGCGCTTATTCTTATGAGGTTGGCAATATTGTAACCCAGACTCCAGAGAGCTGGGAGCTTTACATTTTGCTTATCTACATTCTATTACAACATCATGCAATGATGCTAATTTTTTCTATAAAAAATAGATAAAAGTGCAAAGAAAAAAAAACTATATAATTTTTTAAATATAATATATAATTTTATGAACCTTTTTTCCCCTCAAATTTTATTATAAATATACTTTATAATAACAAAGTTTAAAGAAAGTACATTAGATTTTTATTCTATTTAGGCATACATTGCCTGTACTATCTAGATCTATCTGCGCCGAACAAATCCTAATTTTTTTGGGAAAGATTCTATTTTGAAAAGTTTTCAGTCTTTTTTTTTTGATAAGTAAAACTTTTTTTTTGAAAAGTTTTCAGTCTTAAAAATTAATATTTTGAATAGAAGCAATTTGTAGATCCGCTTCTCTCTAAATTTAATAGAAATAAATAATAATCTTTACAGTATTATTCATTATTCATGCATGGGTTATATTTTATAAGAAAATTGTTAAATAAGATTAATTTTCATTAACTTGACAGAAAAATCCACGGTAGGCAATTCTCTTGATAAGATTCCAGGTTGAATTCTTGGCAGTAGAATAAAAATTTTCAATAAGATCTACTGTAGCTCATTGGCAATTCTGTAAGCAAGAATCAGTTTCAAGTCCTGGCAGTGGAATATTTTTTTTTGTCCAAAGTCGAATATTTGTGGTAATAAGTAAAAAAATGTTTACAAAGATTAATCTCATTATCTAAACAAGAGAAATTTACTGTAGCACATTGGCAATTCTCTTACCAAGAAGCCAGGTTCAAATCCTGGCAGTGGAATGATTTTTATATAATACTCCGTATACATATTGCAAAAAGGATAGCAATAGCTTTTACGGAGTATTTTTTACATGCAATGATGGTAGTATCTGTTGCCAACTGAAAACATGCAATGATTGTAGTATCTCTTGCCGCCTGAAAACCCAATGGTGTATAATAGCCATGTTTGAAGGGAAGGGAAAAGAGATAAAGCTTCCTTACAGAAGAGGAAAGAGGAAGGAGGATAATTATCACAAATATGTTTTTCATTTTTAGCCGTTCCAAATATTATCTAATTTTATATAATGATGATATATTAGTAAAAATTATATAAATTTTTTTTTCCATTCTTTCCAAACAAATAATGAAAAAGTGTCATCCCATTTTTTATTTGTACCACCCTATCCGTCCAATCAACCAAGATGCCTCATCCATTTTAGTCTTCGTTCCGGTGATGTTGAACATGATCATCTAATAGTGTGTAAAAGTTATTCTCAAACTTCACAGTTGTCCCTTTACAATCAATCGTGTCATATTTTATTAGAATTAATTTATGGTATAATATTTCTTCTGTCCCAAAAAAAGACATCGAATTTGAAAAATCGTTTGCAGTATATAAAAGAACAACTGTGTAAAAGTAACAAAAATCACTTCCCTGCTCTATTTCCAGTGAGTATTCAGATTGTTCACAAGAGAGCAACCCACCATTGTGATATTTATTTTAAAAATAAAATATTTTGGAAATATAAATAAAATTACAAATACATTTTCTAGGTCAAAGCACAAAAATAATTCAAAAATTCAGGTTGGATCAAGTTTGACTAATTCCATAGGCCTAACCTGAACAGAGGTTAAATTCAGAAATAATCGTCCAAAACAGCTTAATTTTGAACTAAGAAAAATTCTCAACCAAAAAGCTAGGATTCAAATGATAAAGCTTCGAATAAACCTCTTCTGTCTATGATGTCTAAGCCTTTTTTTTTTCCAACGTTTTTCTGGGTAAAATCTTTGATGTCTTAGCTTGATAAATACTGAACTAGCGTACATATACAGTATCAGATACATACCAAAGTGTCCCTGTTGTTTTTCTGAAGCTTTGACTAGCACCAGCCTCGTACATTCACATCCACGTCACATAATACCATAATACTAGAAGGAAGAAAACATCCGGGAACACATTCAAATTCATCCAAAAGCCTATAATTTCATTTTTTCATGTTAAGCTTACCTGTGGACAGCATAGATCTCCACCAGATCAAGTTGAGAGATGTATGGTCTTCTATATCAAAAAACCACCTTTTTTTCCCCTTATTTCATGAACTCCTGCCAATGTCTTTGCCCACGAAATCGCCACCACCGAATGATGCAGCTGCAGCAGCAACGTCAAAGCCGCCTTCAATGGAGGTCATTAGCATCGATAGCCCACTAGTAGGGCCGCCACCGGCAGCCATGCCCAACCCGAGAAGATCAAGTGTAGTCTGCTTGGGACCAAACACAGATGGAGTCCCCAACATCAATTCTCTCAGACCCGAACTCCCATCACACGGCAGCCCAAGTCCAAGTCCAGCTGCCAATGATTCGTTCTCTGGCTCCATTTGCTTCCACTGTTGGTGCCCCGATGGAGATGACGTGGAAGAAACAATCCCAAACCCCCTCAGCAATGATGCATTTGTCGCTGTAGCACCCATCTGAACTGCTTTCTGTAGTAATGCTGTAGCAGACATCGCAGGCTGAGGAGGCGGTGCATACTGCCGACGTTCCTGTCCTGCAGTTCCAAAAATTGACGACCCGTGATTCGTTGCAAGGCAAAGAGAAATTGGCTCTGTGGATGAAGAGGGTGCAAGGTCAGGGGTAGGCCCAGGACGAGCCATTGATCTGATTAGGTCTGTAAAACTAGGTGTTTGATGAGGTTGCAAACTTTCGGAAGCTGTTGATGAGGCAAACAAGCTTGCAAGTACATTACTGCTTGAACTTCCACTCCTGCTTGAGCTACTACTACTGCTACAGCTTCCAGTTAACCCAGTTGTTAATTGCTTATTTTCTAAGATCTGAGTGGGATTAGAATTTTCTGTCAACTCTGTAACATTAAAAACAAAAAAAAAAAGAAAAAGAAAAAGAATTACTTATCAATGTCAAGAGATGCAAAAAAGTAAGCTTTTTTATTAAAGAACTTTTTCGGAAGTAAAAGGAGAGAATCAACAAAGTTCCTTTCTCAAGTCTCAACCCACTTCTGTTTCTGTCTCTTTTTTTAGCTTTTGAGTATCAAAGGGCTTTATATTTCTTTATCAATATTGCTTAGATTGAATCTTAAAAGCTCCTCCAACAGCCATATTTCTTAAGTACTTTCTAGTTCCTATTCTCTAGTCTCAGATCAGTTACTAATCTAATTAATATCTATACAGACAGATGGGAACAAAGATCAGCAACAGACAAAATCAACAAACTCAAGATCTAGAGAGAGAAACAACAAAGATTTTTTGTTGGTTAGTGCAGCTAAAACAAGCATCCGACAAAACCCAAAACTAATAAATTTAAAAACTTCCAGATTTGGGTCAAAATACCTGCACTCCGAATAGGCAAAACAGAAGAAATTATAGCAGTTGATGGAGGAAGAGTTGGTGGTGGTGGTGGTGAAGCCAAAGTTTGAAATTTTGGGTTTTCATCTACAGTCGGAGGTGTCACCGCCGCACACTCTTCTGCTAATGCATCACAGAAAGCCCGGTGTGTGATAAAGCTATCCCTCCTTTCATGAATCATAACAAAATTAACTTCAGAAACACTCTCTCTATATATGAAGAACTGAATTGATAAACAGAGAATTGAACAGAGATTGAAAGATCAAAAACCTTGAAAACAGAGTCCCACAATCGCATTTGTACTCTCTGGTTCCACAGATTTTGGAGTGAGCTTTCCAATCGGACTGAACGGCGTATTTCTTGGAACACTTCTCGCATTTCCACTTCTTCTCGCCGTGTTTTCTACAGAAATGCTTCTTTATCCCCGTGAGATCGCCCAATGCTCGCGAAGGATCGTGATGAACGCACGACAGCTCCGGACAGACGTAGACTCGCTTCCGAACCTCCTTGCTTGACCTCTGTCTAAGCTTCCATGGAAGGTTATGTCCCCTGCGATGGAGTTGCAAATTCTGGTCCCTCTGAAACCCTTTATTGCAGATTTCGCAAACGAATCGATTCGTTGCCATCAGAGATTTCGGAGACAGAGCAATCACCTCCGCGTTTGGATCTATAAACAAAAATAAACAGATATATTAACATCTATATATATATAATTTCAACTATTCGATACATATTTGGAGAATTAGTTCGATGATTTTACCTGGCATTCCAGGGAGATTTCGCTTCTTCTTTGATGTTGATTTTGCGGGTACTATTTGATTGCCGGAAGAAGAGACGCTCGCTTCGCCTGAAGCTGTGGAATCATTCATGGCGGATGAGTTATCAACGTCAGCCGGCATGGTGATGAAATTTGTTCTAGGGTTATTTTGGGTGGACAAAAGAACGAAATCTAGGGCATTTGTCTTCTCGAAGAATTCGAAGAGACTATTGAGATTAAATTTCTACTTTCTAGGGTTCCACTAAAGTTTTCTCTAACTTCCAGTCAATCTTGCTTTTTCTCTTCACACCTACCAGTTTCTTACCAAAACCCAGATTAACAAACAACCTAATTAACAAAACCCACGACTTAAAATCAGCTCTGAGCTCGAACAATGATTAAGACCCAGAACAAATCGCCTGTAATACCGGTAAATTGATCGCCGGCGACCACAGTACAATCCAATATCGAAGTTAATGGAAGCTTTTTCACTCTATAGAAACATAACCAAACAAATAAATTAGAGATTTTGCCCAAATATGTGAATTTTCGGACATTCAACTGTGCTTGATAACAACTATCCAAAAACAATTTCAAACGTTTCGACGAAAATGATTGAAGTAAAGAACCGATTCAAACGCCGAAGATCACAATAGGAACAGCTCTCTATGTCGACGGCTAAAACAAAATAAAAAAATTTACTAGAGAGAGAAAGACAGAATTTTGCAAAGTCGTCTCTGTGTTGGGTCTTCGTTCTTCTCTCTTACTCTCTGGAAGAAGAAAAAGGAAATTGAAATTGAAATTAAAATTATAATTTTGATTGAGACAAAATAGTACTGTATTACAGAGGAGTTTGAATTAACTATGGTTAGTTTGACTAGTTGAGTTAGTTAGAGTTAGAAGGTGACAAACATGACCATGGTTTAGACGTCGACAGGAGGGACTTTTCAGGCGAGGATGGTTTTGGGGTCTTTTGTCGTTTAGTGATGTTGTGATTTGTGTATTGTCAACTGTCAACACTTTAGATTTGTCGACATGTGTGAATTTTGATTCAAAAAAAAGGGCTCAAGTACCGTGGTCTATTTTTTATTAAATTATTTAACTAAATTTTGTTAGGTAGACCATTTTAGCACCCTAACCTTATTTGAATGAATTGACAGTTAAATGGAAGATACAAATTACATTAGTGATGTTACATGATTGGAGTGAAATAAATTTGGTACATGTACTTGTCAACAAAATAGTAATTATTTATCTGTGTGATACACTGTTTTTATTTCTTTTAATCATTGACTTTAAATATTTTTACATGAAAATAAAATGAAAATTTATGAAAAAAATAAAATAAAAATAGGACATGATATTTGCACTTTAATTTTTTAATATCCTAATCTCATACCCAAGCACAATAAAATAGAATCATAAAAAAACATTATATCCAGACACTCCTGGATACCTCCAAAAGTTGAATAAGTTCATAAAAATAAGATATTATAATTTCAGCTAGTGACTAGGCATACGAAAAACAATTGTTACAAGCTATAGTCATTGTCAATATATTTATCACCATGTGGCGTTAAAGTGTCCAACAACCTTAATAGGTGTATTCATGTTCAAGATTTTACTTTCACTAATTTATTAGGATTTATCATCACTAGTTCATGATAAGAAAACCGTCGCTTTCATTTTATAAATAAATTATTCTTGCACAACAATTGTTTTTACGCATGATCACTAAAGTATAATTTTTCTAGAAAAATATCTCGAATGGACTATTGTGGATCTCTATTTCTTTGAATAAACCTAATCCTAAAATTTTCAGCTCTCCTGCCGGGGATTGAATATATTTGAAGTGAAAATTGTGGTGGTCTAAGATGGTGGTCCTTTGAATTGACAAAGAAATTAGGTGTGTGGTTTAGCAAAGACAAGAGAACTTCCTTGCAACTTCGGACAGTGAGTTAGGTTGCCTTTATTTAGCTTTTAACATCTTACATGACATTTAAGAGTCAATGTATATTCACCAATTTGCTATATTGAACCAAAATAAAATTAATATTTAAGGACTTATTTGATAAGCGTTTTGCTTTTCATCAATTTATTTTTGTTGGTTATTGTAGGAACAGTAAAAAAAACGTATTTTTTTTTTCAAAAATCTTGTAACAAATTGACATTATTAAACATGCTTCCAATTACTATTCAAAACACTTTACAACAAAACACTTTACAACAAAACACTTATTTTGTTTCGGGTTAAAACAAAATATCAAAAACAAAACGCAAATGAATGTTACTGGTGTAATATTAGTTATATAGGGTAGAACCAGGAATGAAGCTAGTGTACAGTAAATAGTGAATTTTGCCCCCATTGTTTTTTTTTTTTTTTTTTAGTATTATATACTAATAATTTTCTCTTTTTGAATTATATACCTATGAAATTTTAATATTTCTTTTCTGAATTTTTTTTTTAAAAAATCACTTTTGCTCTTCCCGCACAATTTTTTTGGGTCTGTCCCTGAGTAGAACATAGTCCATATACTTGAAAAAAAACTAATTTCACTGAATTAGTTCTTACGTTCATGAATAAGTTGATAAAGGCCATAAAATGCTATAATTTAGTAGTATCTCCCATGCCTTTAAAAATGGTAGGTGAGGGTTCAATTTCTTATAAGAATATACGAATGAGTTTTTTAGTCAGTGAAAAACAAATTAAAAAATAAGCTCCTAAGGTATATGTTTTTTTTATGGTCGGTGTCATTTTCTTTCTTAAATGTATTTGTTTTATTGTGTATTACAATTTATTTCGGTTTGACAAAACGCGGTTTGTTGCTATCTAAAGTTCCAAACAGCCAAAATGCTGACTGATAATGTGTGGCTGCGCATTTTTTGGTGCAGTCCAGGACTCCAACTCGATCTGTCTACGTACCAATATATGTTAAGTGTAATTAATTATGAATTTATGATATAGCATCATTGAATATTAAAAGTGATATATGTATATATATTATATAGTGTTAAGTAAAAATCTCGCATTCCAACCGTATTTTTATTTAAATTATTATTATTATTATTATTATTATAGTAGTGTTCAAAAAGAATGCTCTCTTTCAATTATAGTCTTAGGATTTAATACTACGGTTAATATAATCCTCACACTATTTTAAGAGATATAAGAGAAAATAAATCAATTTTGTTTGATACAACTTTTTAATATTATTTTCATCGAAATCATATATAAAAACTTTTTTTTTGAAATATAAGAAGTTAAGGGAGAATACAACAAGAAAATTTTTATTTATTTTTTTATTATTTTTTTGCTAATCTTATTTTTCCCTATGAATTAAATATGTCTTCATATTCTATCCAAAAAAAATAAAAATTCTTGTTATATACTCTTCCTTAACTTGTTATTTAAAAAAAATAATAAAAAAAATTCATGTGGTGCTAAATAGGTAGTAAATTCATTTAGGATTTGAAGACGTGTTTAATTGATAGAGAAAAATAAGATTACAAAATGCAAAAAAATAAAATAAAATAAAAATTCTTGTTATACTTTTTTTTAACTTTTTTTCATGTGGTGATAATTAGGTAGTAAATTCTTAAAGACGTGTTTAATTGATAAAGAAAAATAAGATTAACAAAAAAAAAAAAAAAAAAAAAAAAAAAAAATCTTGTTATACTCTTCCTTAATTTTTATCTTTTGTTAAAAAAATAAAATTATATATGATTTCGATGGAAGATATATATTCACGGTTAATCAACAAAATCTTTAAACGTTATATCAAACAAAATTGATTCTTTTCTTTTTTTCTTATTCAAATAATATCACTTCCTTAAAACAGTGAAATGATTATATTAGCAATAGGATTAGATTTTACGACTATAATTGAAAGTAAGCATATTTTTTCTTATTTATTGGAGAGCAATTGAACACTATTTTGTGTGTGTGTGTGTGTGTGTGTATATAGGGGAAAATTATATTTTGGTGACCAAAATTAAACATATATGCTCTATAATGACCTTAAAGTCAAGAAAAGGAAAATAGTGACCAATGCTGAAACTTAATTGATATTAAGTGACCATTTGATGGTTTATTATCTAAATAACCTTCTAACACTATATTATTATGTAAGTGAACAAATTTACCCTCTACATTAACCTAAATAAATATTTAATTAAATTGACTAACAAAATACGATAGATTATTAGCATGAGTCTCCGAAGAGAAGACCAAGATGGGAGAGAACTGAGTACAAATGTTCTACATCGTTTTCTTCAAGGTTCTAAAAGGTAAAACGAGTAAATTGTAAATTTTCTTCTTATTCATTATTTTCAAGGGATAGTTATTATACTTTATAAGTTGATTTGTTTGAGAGATCTTCCTTAAGATATAAGATTGTAATTTTTAGGAAATTTTTAATACTACTGAGTTATAATTTAAGAAATAATGACCATTGTTGATTAATTTTAGAATTTTGCCAATTGTTTATGGGTGTTTCAAAAGTATACACATCAATGGTTTGCAAATATGAAGTTGTTATTGAGATTGTCTATAGCCCTAAACACATTCCTGTATATAGGCATGAGCTTAGAATCATCTAGAAAATATGATACATTAAATCAACAAAGTGAGAAGGGACCCGCCAAAATATTCTATAAAGAGCATTTTGGGATTAAACTTGTTTTCTCAATTTGCCAGTGTAAATGTTTTTGCTTTCATGGTGGAGAGCCTGGAAAAATAGATAAAGGGTGGAAAAGAGATAATGTTGAGAAAGAAACCTTAGTTTTTTAAATTGGTAAATTGCAAACTAAAAAGGTAAAAAAGAAAACGTTGGATTAGAGAGAGAGAGAGAGGGTAGGAGGATGAATTCAATGAATTATTATTTGTATTGGATGGCAATTTTGTCATCTAAAATTTATTTTAAAAATGTTTATCAAACATTGAAGTGTTTTTGACTAAATTATTGTGATACCCCTCGGATCCGAGACACGGGTTGATCAGGCCTAGGCCCAAATCCGAGGGATATCAGACAATTAATATTTTAAAAACGAACACGGAATACAAAAGTGATTAAAGAGATAAAATTTAAGCTGAAAGAAACTAAAATAAATCCTCAAATATAAATATTTAAACCTTGACAATCCAAACTCCATAAGTTTAACAACTCGGGAATCCATCTCTAGTGGACCCCTAATAAAATCCCAAACTGCATGGAAGAAAACTGAAGATAAAATCCAAATCTAATATCTGGAAAGAAGTCCTACGTTGTCGGTAGAATAGAAGTCTGTATCTGTTCTGCACGATCAAACTCTAACCCTGGAACTGACGAGTACCTAAAAAATATAAGGGTGGGTCAGGCCCACATGCAAGTCCTGATCTACTACAATCCAAACAGGAATCCGATACGCAGATACATACTAGAAAAACTCAACAATATCTAGAGTAGTCCATATATGTATAAGTACACACTATAGGACGCTCACTAGTCCAAAAAGGTCTGTCTCAGCCTGAATAGAGATACCATGCAAATCGCACATACTGTGGTCATGTGTATCTAAACCTACCAGGGAACAACACATCTGTCCAGCTATCCATCCTAGGCAATATACGCACCCTAACCAAGGTCCTGAGACTCAAGCTCATACCATGGCACATATAATAAATATATAAAGTCCGTGTCCTCCTATTACAAAATATCAACCATCTGAAAAGTGGTTTGATAAATGTAAAGCAAATCCATCCTGAAACCATATTAAGTCATTCAATTATTTGATTGATATGACACAAGTAGGTGATGGACTTAACTCAT